CAGGTGGTTGGAGCTTCATCCTGTGTGCCAAAACGTTGTGGGTTCTATTCCTAGTTGGGGCATGTATGGGAGGCGGCCGATTGATGTTTCTCTCCCCATGTTCTTATTGCCCCCTTCCTCTAAAATCAATGAAGCATGTATATCCTCGGGTAAAATTTTTAAAAAGAAAAAAACTCAGTATGAGAAGGGGCCGTAGCTGATAAAGAAGTTGCTATGCCCGGGAGAGGTTTTGGCTTCAGAAGTAATAGTACATACTGAAGGCAAAAGAGAGAAGTGTGACTGAAGGGAGAAATTAATTGTAGCTCTTATGCAAAACACTAAAGTCCAGCAAGCCTAGACATAAATGCACTTAGAAAACCCACAGAATGTCTCTAAACAAATTCTCCAAAGATCTCAGTTCTAGCTCCCTTTCCACCCATAGAGCCTCCTAATCGCTATTTCCTCATTAAATATGAATGGACAAGTAAGATTTATTTAGTAGGATTACTAAATAGTTGATTAAAGTTTGCTGAATAAAAAGAGAAAAAGATGAACAGAAATAAAGAGGAAAACTATAATTCAGGGGATTCAAAAATAATTGCACTCATAAAACAAGAACAGGATATTACCCTTAAACAATGAAAAGGAACAAACTCTCAAATTTCAAATGACTGGAAAACTAACTCCTAAGAGTTAGAACATGGAATTGAAGAAATCTTCCAAAAGATAAACATCAGGGGAAGATAATGAGAAGAAGCTCCTAAGACCATCAGTAAAATCATGTAACAAAACCAGAAGGCAGTGAGCAAGGGCTTCCAAGTGATGAGGAAATATTTTAAACCTATAATTCTATATCCAGTCCAATAACTCTGAAAGCAAAAAGTCACTATCACACTTAAGAACTAAAACATTGGCTTCCAATACACATTTTCTGGATAAATTATTTATGGATGTATTTCAGCAAAAGAATGAAAACACCAAGAAAGAGGAAGATGTAGGTACTAAAACCAAGAATTCAATTAAAAACTCATCCTGCAATGGCAGTTGTAAAAGAGCTAAAAACAAATATAAGCAACAAATGGAATGATTAAGGCATTAGAAATGTTAGGAATCAGGAGCACCTTTTCCAAAGAGGAAGAAAAGGAGGCAAGTACATTCAGAAATAGGCTTCTGTAGAACAGTAAGGCACAGCAAACTAAAACGCACTGTATTTTGTATCAGTTGGTAGAGTATAGAAAATCAAGAGGCCCTTCAACATGTTAGGAATATTCTACTTTCAATGACAGAGGTATTGTGAACTTGGAATTATGGAGAAGGAAATAAAGTTATTGACTTGATTATATAGTAAACATTTTTACATTATGGACAATGATACTTTATTAGCGTTCAGCTTTTAGAAAGAACCAACATAAAAACATGATTACAGACTGGAATGCAAACCTAACTATGGTGTTATGGTACAGTTCAAAGCAAAAAGAGAGAGACTTCTAGCCAAGATGGAGGTATAGTTAGATATACTTTGCCTCCTCACACAACCAAATGAAGGACAACAAATTTAAAAACAAAAAATAAGCAGATCGGCCAGAAAATCCAACTGTATGGAACTCCAACAACCAAGGAGTTAGAAAAGAAACATTCATCCAGACTAGTAGGAGGGGCAGAGATGGGCAGCCGGGCTGGAGAGTACTCTAGGTGGTAACTGGCGGACTGCGCAGTTCCACATTTGCCTGAGGATAAACTGGGAGGAACAACTGGGAAGCAATACAGACTATGTAACCCGGGGTTCCAGTGCAGGGAAATAAAGCCACAAAACCTCTGAATGAAAAAAAACCTGTGGGGGTTGAAGAGGCAGGAGAGTCTGTTAGAGAGAGCCACAGGGTCCTAGAATGTACACAAACCCACCCACCTGGGAATCAGCACCAGAAGGGCCCAATTTGCTTGTGGGTAGCAGAGGAAGTGACTGAAAACGGACCAGGAGCTCAGCAAGTGGCATTGTTCCTTCCCAGAAACCCCCAGCATACAGTGCCACCACACAGCATGTGGGTTGCCTTGCCTTGACAAATACCTAAGGCTCCACCCCTTACTAGGTAACAGACACACTGAGACAAAAATATATGTCCCCAGTGAAAGAACAGATCAAAGCTCCAGAAAAAATATAGCTAAGTGATGAACAGATAGCCAACCTATCAGATGCACAGTTCAAAACACTGGTAATCAGGATGCTACAGAAATGGTTGAGTATGGTTGCAAAATAGGAACAGATTCACAGAAATAGAGATCACATGGAAGGTTATCAGTGAAGAGAGGGAAGAGGATGAGAGGAGAAGAAGGTACAGGGAATAAGAAGCATAAATGGTAGGTACAAAATAGACCAGGGAAGGTAAGGAACAGTATGAGAAATGGATAAGCCAAAGAACTTATATGTACAGCCCATGGACCTTATATGAACTAAGGTGGAATGCTGGTGGGAGTGGGGTACAGGATGGAGGGGAATAAAAGAGAGAAAAAATGGGACAACTGTAATAGCATAATCAATACATTTTTTTAAACAAAAAGAACAGAAGCACTGGTTTCCTCATCTCAAAGTCAGAAGGTGATGCTACATGATGGGAAATGTAATCAATAGAAGATCTAAAGGCAGCAATACAGTTGTTCATGTGGAAATAATATAATACAATAATTAATAAATAATGTAAGAATAAACTGGCATACACACAACTGTAAACCGACTTTTGTCCTACACTGTATAATCAAATTTGGATCACAGGAGAAAGGCAATAGATAGTAACTAAAATCGGCAATTAAGAAATAAAAACCAATGTGTAAAAAAGCTGGTACCTTTAGAAAAAGAGAGCTGTTGATTTTCATCATCAGCTCTTATGTACATTTTTGTTAGGTACATGGGTTTTTTTTTTAACTTTAGATATTTCTCATTTAAAAATTTATTGTATATGGAAGGAGATCTGACTTGGGGTGGTGGTGAACACACAATACAGTATACAGACGATGTGTTGTGAAACTGTGCACCTAAAACCCATATAATTTTGTTAACTAACAAGTATCACGCCAATAAATTGAAAAAGGGAAAAGTTATTATATAGATATTTTATATGAGTAGAACTTTAAAAAAATTAGTAGTTAAAAATAGATTGCTACTTACAGGAACAATTATAAAGAACACGTGGACAGTAAGAAGAGGGGGTGGAAACAGGGGAGGGAGGTGGGGATTGCCGGCGTGGTGGGGAGGGGTGGGGGGAAAGGCAGAAAACTACTTCAACAACAATAAAAAAAAAAATACATGTCTACTCAATATTAATAAGTTAGTTGCTTTCCATGCTAATAGAGTAAAAATTTGTTTTAGTTTGAGAAAAGGACCTAAAAGAAGTAGGCAGAGGATGCTAGAACTATGAGTTGAAGAGAAAACTTTAGAAAGAGTTGGGCTATTAACTAATCTAACCTCAAAAATAGGTTTTAATTCACTGTAATGAATTTAAAGAGTTGATCCAGTAAGTAAAATGCATCTGTTCTGTTTCTGTATCTCATAGAGTGATGGTGTGCAACAGACAACCTACCTCGCCCAGCGGTACTGCCACGAAGCAATAAGAGAGATCAGTAAACTTCGACCATCCCCAGAAAGAGATGCCCTCATACAACTCTCAGAAACTGTACTCACAAGAGATAAATGACAAGGCTTTCTGTTATTTCTGGCAGCTATTTTACCAGACTGTGCCTAAAGAATTTTGTGGAATATACTTTGCTTCATGTGCAGATAACCAAAAATCATTTTTAAAAGTAATTTCAACCTTAATGATGGGCATTTCTTTTTTTTGTCAGTTTTTCAGAAAAGTTTTAAAATAATTAAATCATTTGAAACTCATTCTAGTCCTATGAATTCTAATTGAAGTATCTTGATGGTTATATGTGGTATTGTTTACACTGTTAATATTCACATGTAAAGCCATTACACAAATAAATAATCAATGTTAAAATTCAAATGGTTTATCTTGTTTCACCATAGGAGTAAATGTCAAAGAACTGTGAGGTCTACATTTTAATCAGAATTAGATTTTAACAGTATCCAAAACTTCATATTGGAGAATGGTTTATTATAAAAGACTGTACATAAAATTTAGATGAGTTATATACAAAACTGAAAAAAATGAAATGAAAACAGTAGCTTAGCTGATCACTAATGATATGAAATCATGTTTAAAATTAACAAGGCAAAATGCATATGCAGCAGTCAAACTGATTTGATAGCAATGGTCTTTAATTCTCAGAAACATGTTTTGCACTAATCTTACCATTTACTATACTGTTATAGGTCTGTAACACCCAGTACATAACTGTAATTTGAAATCCAAACAATTGCTCAATACACAGAAACCCACACTTGAGTGCTCTACTTTAATATCCTAAGCAATACAGATTTATACACAAAAGAAATATCCCTCTAAACTTCCCTGAAATTAAGAGACACAGAAAGTGCATGTGTTGCATTCCAATTAAGACAATACAAATCTGTTGGTCATGTATATCGCTGTTCACTGGTTAATATATGACCCACCTTTTCCCCAATTATTTAAAAAAATTTTATGTTGCTAGTGCCAGGAATAGATTAAATAGTGCCTATTCAAAAATCAATTGCATCCATTTCTGCAAAACAGTATGTAAAAGATACTTATAATCTCTCTTCACTGAACAGCAGCCCACTGGAAAACTGAAGAACTGATAAGAGCAATCCTTAAGAATTTTACCTACAGAATGTGTATACTTTTATACACTTTCTTAGTTCTGAAAAGTTACTTTAGAAAAGCAATTAAAAGTAGATTTACTTGTAAATAACCACCTCAGATTTTAAATCTGCAAAAATCAGTCACATTTGATGTTGGGACAGGTTAAGGCTAAAATTTTTTTTCCAAGTTTATATATTGAGAAAATAGAACCATAATTCTGCAATAAATCAGTATCTTTTATTTATTTTTCTTAAAAGTAAATCAATGAAAGAAAGGACAAAAACCTTTGGTTCACTTATGTATTTATGAATGGAAAAAATTTATAATGCAAATTCACTCATTAAAAAACTCAGGTACAAATGACATTACAAGTAACCCTTTTTTTGTTTGTTTTGTTTCACATGGAAACCTTAGGGACTCGATTCATTTCAAGATATCTAAGTACGAGTACTCCAAGAAAATATTACACAAATCGGAAGCATCTTGGATTTTTAAAGTATATTTCAATACATAAATTTGTATGCATGCTTTGAACAAATATAGTTATATTTCAAGAATGAGGAGTCTAAACAAAATGTATGACCAGCACCAGCATTTAAGTTTCTGATTTTAATATTAGTCTGACATAGCATTAGTAACCATGCTGCACTGAAACATGTAATGGTACAATCTGAATCACGAATTGTTAAATATTATACCCCACATCCCCAGAATATTTAAGCTGGTCATAAAGTTAACATTGTGTAAGTAAATATATAAGCATAATCAGTTGTGGACAGCATCTTGTATAAATTGCTGTTTAGCAATACACAAATTGCCTCAAAAGATTTATGCTTACAGGTAGACATTCAATTATACCAATAAAACAGCATGTTCTGAAAATATGGGCACATTTTAAAACAATCTTGTTAACCATTAATAGTCCCACGTTATGACTGAGTAATAATAAGTATCTACTTTAAAAGCAAAAAAAATTAATCAGTATAGTGCATGATTGATTCAACATAGTTCCCAGGGAACAGACCAGTCACTCGATTGCAGACTCCTTCATACCAGCCATCATCATTCTTCTTTATTACATAAATGATTGCACCCTCCATGAATGATAGCTCATCATCCTTATCTTTTGTATAATCATATATTGCCACAACTATGGAGAAAAAGAGTTGAAATAACAAGTGAGTGCACTATATCCAACATTCAATTGCATTTTAAAATGTAATGCCAATTAAATCTATAGTATAACAAAACCAACTATTTTTATGAATAATCTTAACTCTTACATATACACATATAGGTAGACGAGTGACCAACCACGTAAGCTAGAGAAATCAATAGTTCTCTACCAATCTATTTAGGGAAGATCTCTGAATTTTAGGATTTATTAAATAGTTCAATTATTTTGTCCAAATATCTACTAAGTGCCAACCATGTGCAGAACATCATTTTTCAAAATAACTATCAGGGAAAGCTGACTGGCCAATTAGTAAACCAGCTAATTGAAAATACACATATCTGAAGATAAACATCATCTACTCACCCAAGAAAAAATATTCATGTAATATGGGGTTATATTTAGAATTATGTTATAGAGTATTTATATACTTTAAAGGTCAGCAGGAGAAAAAAACTAAGACTTAACTATTGCAGTTCTTTAGTTATCTGTGATTATTTTGAATTTAAAATATTCACTCTCTTTGCAGTGTTGTAGAAAAAAAAGACATTGAAAAATTACTAGTTTTCTAAACTACTAGTTCATGAATCTATCCCTTCATCCTGCCTTTATAGCATAAGAATTGTGAAATTATATGTAATTTTCTAGTAAATGTGAAATGGTATGTGATACGGATATTTTTCATTGATTTGCTTCGTGCAGTTTTTCTTACAACAGAGTTCTTAAGACATTTAAAATGTTCTGGAACTTTTCCCCTACGAAAGGTGGCTATTCCCCATAATTTTTCTGAATTAGGGAATTACAATAAGAAGAGACCTAAAATACTAACTGATAGCATCATTTGCTAAATTAGAATAGGCAGTCTTTTTTCCCCTTTATAAAATGCTGTATTAAGTAAACTCAACAAGCCCACTCCCCTCCATTTTAATGCTGCAGCAGCAGGATCATAGTACTGTGATTACAAGATCAATGACATGTAAAATCATCTTAAAAAAAACATAAAACATAAATAATATTAAATTATTATCCTGCTATTATTTTTGTCAAAAAAAAAACACAAGAAAACTGATTGCTAGATATAGTAAGGAAAATAATATAATTAAAAGTCAACTATTAATTATTAATTTGTCAATATACTTGTTACTTTTGGTTTAACTTTGATAACATTAATTTCTTTGTACTCAGTCACAATGAGTTAATTTTGAGTGTTACAGACTTTTAAACTAATCGTGACAAAGGCCTGACACCCTCAAAGTCATTCAGCAGAATAAAAATTTTATTTCCTCTTGTCCTTATTTCCACTTACAAAGGAGCTGGTAAACATACCAAGCTCAATTAATAATGTTTCAATTTTCCAAGTCCCCTTTGTAAATGAAGCCTCCCCTAGCCCAATGCACATATTCTCTCAGTAACTCTTACTGTTGAGCATTTGACCATTAGTAATTTGATGTCCATTTTCCTCTCCAGGATCCTAATTCATACATGTATAATCCTACTAAATATCAGCTTTTTGGTTTAGAATAGGGGTCTGCAAACAATGGCCCATGGCCAAATTCAAATCACTGCCTTTTGTGTAAATAAAGTTTTACTGGAATACAGCCACATCCACTCACTTGTTATTGTCTATGGCTGATTTTGTGCTATAACAGTGGCATGGAGCAGTTATGAAAAGAGACTACGTGGCTGGCAAAGTTTTAAACATTTCATTTTGCAATATATACAAATATTGAACCATTAGGTTGTACACCTGAGACTAATATAATGTTATGTCAATTATATCTCAATTTTTTTAAAGCATTTATCTAGTCATTCCCCTCCCCGCCCCCAAAATTGTGATGATCCCTCATTTTAAGACTCATCATTTCAAACTGGGAAGGTGTTTTTTATTCATCCTGAGTTACCAACTGTAAAAGTAAACAGTACATTTACTTTTACCTATGTATTCAAAACTTGGGCAGGAGAGAACAGGACAAGTCTCAAAGGTTACCGCTACTTGCTTAATTAAGGTCAGTTAATCCAATACAGCCAATGGAAGGGAATAGATTTCAAATGCAATCAAATGTGATCACCTAAATTATAAGCATCTTTCAGAACACTTTTTTGTGTCTATACAAATACAGATTTTTAAATAGCACATAATTGCATGAAAAAGAGCAAACTCTAAAAACAGGATTTGTTTCCCACCCACTATTTCTTAATAAATAATTATAGTGATTGTCAGGCAAGTTAGGTCTATTTGGACATTAGAATTATACATATATGTAACTTCATGAAATAATGTTCTAGTGATTATTTTCTTTTTTATAAGATCAACTAACTGAAAACCTTAAGTTAGACTTTTTCTCATGATAATCCCAAACAATTTTAAAATACTTAGCTATGAAAGGTTTCTATTTTTATTATAAGAGCTTAGAAATTTTGTTTTAAATCTTTACTAATTACATGATGAGTAATATGGTTTCACTCCTTTTTTGTGTCTTAGTTGTTTCATCTATAAAATGCAGACAGGCAAGTTAACCTCCAGCTGGAAGCACTGTCATTTGAAAAAGCATATCTAACATTATACTTTTCATTTAAAATATAAAGAATGCTCTCTTTACACTGAAAATGTATAGGAAACAAGGTTTAACTAAACCATCTTGACTAGTAAAATCATTCAAAAGGTTGAGAAACATTAGATTAGACGTTCTTTATAGCTCTAAATTCTATAATTAGGTTATTTTCCTTTACGCTAATTTAAACATAATTGCACCTTACCTTTCTCAATATAATTCTTGGGGGCCCAAGCAGGATCCCCATCTGCATATGGATCATTATACTGAACTACTGCAGCCTCCTCGTCTTCATAATCCACAGGAGGTGGTGGTGGCGGAGGTGGAGAGTCATCAAACATGGGAATGTCATCTGGTGGAGGTGGTGGTGGTGGAGTTGGACTATCAGCAACTAAAAAATTTCAAATAATTAATATGAATCAGGAACTAGACTAAATAGAAATTCATAAATTAAAAGAATTTAAGAAAGCTCTAATTCATATACAGCATGCACTATAATAAAACATGCAATGATTAGAAATAAAAGCTTGGTATGTTAAAGCTTCCACTACTCTTAAAAATAATTTCCTGTAATAAAATGAGCTAAAAATGAAAGTATTAGGAAGTACTACAAAATAACAAATGCAGGAGGTTAGGAAAGAGTATCTCTTTTTATAAGAATTATAGGAGTAAAGAAGTTTCCTTATTCCAAGACTCAGGTCAGGATAAATGTCACTCTTTAGTTAGCCTGGCTCCTTAAATAAGCCTTATGTCACTTTTCTCATTTGGATAACAATAAACATTATCAATAACATTACAATGAATAGTTTTATAACCACTCATTGTATATATTCATGTCCTTGACTTCAGCTTTTAATATCTTTAATTCCCCAGAAATAGGTGTCCAGTGGGTAGATATTTAATTTTATTTGTTTTAATGGAGAAAAAAAAAATTGGTGGCATTAGGTCTGCTTCTATGTATAGGTTTTCTATTCTTCTCTGTAAATTTTCATATGAGAAAATTAAAAATTCCAAACTAGTAGAAAATCTCAATGAGTATTTTAAAAAATGGTTGTATTCATAATAAACATTTATAATGTAGATAGCAGGTTAAGATTTCTGCCTTATTGCTAGTAAAATATAAGCACAAGATGAGAGGAAGGCCATATCCTAAAGATCCATTCTGAGAATACATCCACAACAAAGATTTTAAAAATAAAGTATTGTGGTAAGGTAATTAAAACAAACAAATACACATAAAGTAACTTATATCATGCAAAAATAAAAACAACTCATACCTCCAATTCTAGATGGTTATGGGATGTGTCTGTGTGTGATTTAAATAATCAAAAGTGTAAATGACTAGAACTCTGTCACTGAGCTATTATGACACCAGGCAACAAATGCTCCCAACACTAAGGAATTCAAAACTGGTACACAATTAATTCTTAATTTAAAGACATATGAAAGTGTTTGATACAAATTAATATGAAAATTACATGTATCTTCAGGGAAGAAGTTTAGAATACTAACTCAAATGCCAATTTCTAAGGCTATTTGTATGATCAAAAGAGGCAGTCATTATCTGTCGTGTAATACAGGTTTTAAAGTTTACCCTATTTGGAATAATGTGCTGAGAATATAACCAAGAAATCAAGATTTAGAACATTTGCAGATGATGGCCCTATTTCCACTTCAACTCTGTGAATTTCTACTTTACCCTGTTGAAGAATGCAAAGGGCTATTAGAAAACAAGTCCTGTGCGGCAATGTTCATTCTGATAGGTTTACAAATTATTCTTCTATTGAATGTTTTATTTTTCCCATTAATAACCCTTAAAGCTTTCCATTATTATTGAGAGGAGAAGAAAATGGGTACAAATCCATGCTGACATCAAAGAGCCACAGCTTATGTTCTTAATTTGGATTAATGTATAAATTATGGTTTGCCTTAAATCCCTAAATTGCATTTACTCTTGATTTATGTGTAACTTACTAGTTTAATGTTTTCACTCAATTATCTTTCTGTCCAACTACCATGAATCTACATTGGCTTATCTTCAATCTATATATACATAGGGGCAGGAGCCTGGTCAATCCAGTTATCTATGCATAATACTTTACCTAGCACCCTGTGTTAGTTCAAAAATGCTTTCTGATAGCAATCCTAAACATATCTTAAACTGAAACATATTTATTGGTAGGTTAACTGCTACATGCATTCATTATCACCAACTTTGAGTTGATGGAACAATACTTAAGCAACTAAATATTTAAGAGAACACAAAATAATTTGTATTTTATATAACATTTAAGATATTGATGATACTCAGTTTCTCACCAACGTTCCTAACATGCTTTCAAAGAAGATAGATGGCAAATAAAGTTGGACATTCTGCAGCACAAAAATAATAACTGACTGGCTCAAGTTCATCTGTTTGATGAAAGGAACTAAACTAGTACCATGTGCCTCATTAGCAAAAACCAGGCATGTCTAGAATGTACATTTAACTCTTGAATTTCTATTTAAAGTTACCAAAAAGCTTGTCAATAAGCTCTGGACCCACTAAATGGTTGCACAGTATGATTAGTTTTAAATAGTTTCTAAAAAATTCATGGCTGTAAGGCAGTTCAAAAGGTTTAACTGGTTTAGGTTTTAAACTCTTACAGATTTAAAGACCAACAATTTACCCTTATTCACTTAGTTTTAAAAATAAGATTCACTTATTTTTGTTATTTAAATACAGAATTTTCAAACAAATTTCAAGGTTGGTTTACACTAGAAAACTTCAATATTTTGAAACTACAATGTTTATAAAAAGTCCATTAAATTATGTATTTCTTTCAGGTAGGTACTTTGTCTTAGACTATGTGTATTACTCCCAAAAGAACAGCACATAATGCTAAATTAACAAATATTTAACTGGAAGAAGGGAGGAAATAGTTCGTACAACACAAGGTCAGCAAAAGCTGAACAATAGAATTTGCTACAATGTATTCTCCTCAAAGATCAGGTGAGTTACATATTTGTTCAAACCATTCTGAGATTTATTTGGGTGGTCATGGTCCCAAATAAAGTAAATTACTACTAGACCACCTTACCTTACTATCTTAATCTCAAAAGCTATTTTGGCATAATAAAATTTTGTAATAGTAGTATTCTTCATTTTGCCAAATTAACATTCACTATGATCATGTAACTAGGAATATACATCTTCCAGAACCTCAAAGTAATCAGACAACAATATAAACTCTGTATCCTAATTAAATTTGTATATTTAAAATAACTTTCAAAACTCTGACTTTCCTTCAGAGAAGTCCTTAAAAAGATGACAGATTTGCATGCACCTACATGTAGCTAGCCAAAACATGAAGAGGGCTCTATAATGACCATCACTTATATAGATAGAGAACATGATATAATTTATTTATTCTTGCAGGTTCATTCTTATTTTAACAATGAATCTTTATATAGGTTAAAAATAATTCATGTATCAAAATCTGGCCACAAACCTTTTTCTAAAAATTTTTTGTAACTAAATAAAAAAAAAAAAAAAACCCTGTCCCAATTACATAATAAAATTAATCTCACAGTGTAGCAATCTATATCTTGATGAATTTGGGGAAAACTAAACACAAAACGTTTTCTTTCTAATACCCCTAATAATTATTGAAAGCTAGTAGTTTCAATACAACTTAAATTTTTGTGTTCGATTATCCTTTCCTTAAGAGTCTGCAAAGATCAGATTTCACATTTTAGATCATGTAAATTACCTAAAGTTACAGTTTGGAAATTTATATAGGTCAGTATCATGCACAAGAGAAAAAACTGAAGACCGTGCTCTTCAGTTTCAATAACATATCTGCACTGCTTTCAAGGTAAGATTAGCTTCTCAACAAGAGTAAGGAAAATGATGACTCATCAGCCATGCATGCTATAAGGAGAGAGCCTCTACCCTTTGATAGCTAAGTTTTTCCAAACTTACTGTTTTCCTGCACCCTGGCCACGAAGCCTGTGAGAGGTATCTGTGGAGTCAACTGAGGCATAGGGGGAGGAGGTGGAGCAATAGAAACTGATAGCAACAACACAGTATGGGGAAGTAAAACAGATAAAGGAAAGAAAAGGAAACAAACAAAAAGCAGAAGTCAGTTACAAGGACCACAAACATAAGTATGCAAAGAACAGTCTGCAAATGAAACAAAACAAAAAACAAAACAGAAACCTGCAGACCCTTCAAGTTCATTACACACAAGAAAATCTAAAGCTAGTTGTCCTTATTAGCCAATTGGTTAATTTTATTAAAAAAACAATCATTTAATCCTAATGTTTTATTGGTTGGGGAAGATTTAAGTTTACCCTCACATTCACTTTCATGCAATGGAAATTTCAAATTCTAAAGCTTAAAAAAAGTTAACAGCGAAATACTGATAGAGATTTCTATGATACCGTATCTTTGCCATATTTCTATAACCTAACAGGTTGGTCTACCATTACGATAATGTTATAAATTAGAACCCAAATAAATATTGGTAAAACAAATATGTTATGAAATAGCTATTTGTCCCATATAAATTATTACATTATCACAGGTTTCCTTTAAGAACAGTTCTTAGTTTACATATATATATACACACACAGATCACACACATACATGAAAATTTACATACAGCTCTCTAGGAAAAACCCTTGTTTGTAAAACAAGGTTATTATTACTCTTTAAATTGAGAATTTTAAAGAGAGCACTCCTAATTTTACTAGGGAATAGGAGTGCTCCACATACCATGTTAGTTGTTTGTGAGTTTTAGGGAGTAAGGTATCTCAAAAGTTACCTTCTTTCTTTTTATCACTGTTTTGATAAAGGAAACCTGATTTAACAATAGTTTAAAATATGTAATTACCTGCATTTAAGTAATTTCTAAAAAACCACTGAGTAGCTAGAAACATATCCCAAGTTCTTTGTGGAGAGGACATAATTTATACGAAATACCAAATGTTCATGTGCACAACAAATGTATTAAAAAACTGTTAATAAACTAAAAGTAAATATACAAGCTTACCACTCAGTCTCATTTTAACAAGACAGTAATTTCCAAAAACTGCTCAAAAGAGTCAATAGGAATGAATCACAAAATTCTGTTTACTGGTAATCACACAAAGTTAACAGCACTAAACTAACAGAGAAACACAATTTATTGTTTCCCAAGATTGGTGTAATTGAAGGGTTGCTTCAATTAATCTAATTTTAAAATTTTGTTGGTAAGCATAAAACTTTGAAGAGGTTCAGTGTTCAAAGACTCAATAACTTAAAGGAATTAATTCATTGTATGTCTAAAAACAGCATTCAATTCACTATAACACTGGTCCCTATTCATTCTGATACTTTATATATAGAAGGCTCTCTGATGAATAAACTGCTACAGTTTTTAATTTTAAAAAACTTCCACAAACATGAAAAAAAAAATTTCTAGAAACACCCCTTAGTAACTAGCCATGCTGATTAGTAAGTAAAGAAAAAAATAAAGCTTTGCTGTAAAGATACTAATCTTTATCACCACCACATTTAGACAGAAAAGGAAATATGCACATCAAAACACTAAAAACATTTACATCTACTATTATAACACCAACAGTAACTCAGATTGAAGGATAATTCATTTGACAACATGTAATAGTATATTTAAAAATCTGAAACTAAACTTGCTTTACAATATCCAAAAGACAGACATTCAGTAATGAAAATGTCTTGTCTATGAATAAGCAACCCACCCAGGTACTGTTCAAATATAATTACACAATCATGGATTAGGTGAAGAGTCACCAAAAATCCTATTTACAGAGTAAATTAAATGTCCAAGTGAGGGAAAGAAAAAAATAAACATAAAGATGGGATCTAAAAATGCAGCATAATATGAAAAAAAGTTCATAAAACTAATAATCAGGTAATCTGTGGAATAATAATACCCTAGCTACCTTTCACTACCAAAGGAGACCAGGGAAAATGTAAGGTAAAATTCTAACTGGTAAAGTTTGTTTGGATGAACCATTTTAGTCTAGAAAAGGGTTGTATAATTTTGGGGATTATTTGTGAATTCTAACATTTCTGCTAAAGTGGTTTTCAAGTCTTAGGAGGTTTTTCTTTTTTGCCACAATACAATTAATCTTTAACTCTAAAATTTAAACAAAAAAACAAATAAGGTAACTTTCCCCCCCACTCTGCTTTAAAATACATGTTTAGAACATGTATTATAAATGGAAAGAACTTAAACCAACTTCCTATTTAAACATCAAGTATTCAGCCCTGGCTGGCATAGCTCAGTGGATTGAGCATGGGCTGGGAACCAAAGTGTCCCAGGTTCGATTCTCAGCCAGGGTACATTCCTGGGTTGCAGGCCATAACCCCCAGCAATCGTACATTGATGTTTCTCTCTCTCTCTCTCTCTCTCTCTATTTCCCTCTCTAAAAATAAATATAAATAAATAAAATCTTAAAAAAAAAATAAACATCAAGTATTCAGGGCTTTTCTTTTTAATACTTTATTTTTAAATTATAATTAATATGCAGTATTATATTAGTTTTGGGTTTACAACCCCATGATAACTTACAAAGTGGTCACCCTGATAAATCTAGTACCCATCTGACACCATATACAGTTATTACAATTATTATTGACTGCATTCCCTATGCTGTACTATTTTACATCCCCATGACTATTCTGTAACTACCAATTTTATTCAGTGTTTTTAAAGTCAACTAATAAAACATGCATCTCTGGAAAGTAGCCACAAAAGCTCTGTGAGCAAAGTGTGTTTCAGTCTAGTCCCAGTGATCACCCTCCAAGCCAGTAACAAACACTGGAAAATGGACTGATTTCAGATCTGTTTATCTGTTGTTGCTTTTTGGGTTAAGCATCCTGATATGGAAGGTGAAATGAATGACTACCACAAGCAATTCAAATTTCCAAACATTATATGCCCAAACTATTTTCTAATCTTAATACCTTTAAACATCAGTTGCAGTTAGTGTTGAGATGTGCAATTTGAGGTGAACGAGAAGAAATCCAAAGAAAATCCTCCCCACTGTTATAATTATTCAGAGACAGAATAAACAAACACCACTAATTTTTTTTAATGATTCTGAACTCATTTCAATATAGGTTAACAAGCTTAAAAGTGATAGCCAGCAATTTTACGTTTAAGAAAAACATTCAAGGTGTTTAAAATTTTACTGTTATTGAACAGCCTCAAATATGCCAATAAAAATAAATTCAGTTTAATTAATTGCAGTGTTTTTCTTTTCTAGTTCTATCTAGAATAAAAAATACATTAAAGCATTACTGTAGTTAAATTTCAGTATACAAGTACCCTAAGCTTGAATTATTAGAGAGAAAGTGATAAGCAATTACTTTTAATACAGTATGATTCAAGACACAACTTCTTTAAAGCAAAAATAAATATCAAATAGCATGGTTTCAATTGTTGTCTATCACTGGCGAAAATAAGTTTCAAATAATTTCCTTCAAAAGGAGCTCCACTGATGATGTATGCCTGCAAAGCACAAGCTTACTTGAATTCTGAGAATAAAGTGGACCTCCATTAACATGAGGCTGAGCAGAAAATTGAGCAGTCACAGAGGGAGTTCGTCTGTATCCACCAGAAGATGTCGAGGAAGTGGTAGAGTTGTGCCGAGAAATCTGCCTGGTCATTGTGCCATACTGGGAACCAGGAGCTGAGCCCGGGGCCGCTGAAAAGCATTAGTCAAAGGCAACCAACAAAGAATTTGAGCACAGTATTATCACCTCCAACAGCAGAACGAAGAGAGGGGGACTCTCAGTAAGAAATATTTATTATTTTTAAAGCCCACAGCACAAAATAAAGAGAAAAGTAAAGGAAAAATACAAATATCTCTATCTCTGACATTACAAACAGAAGGAAAAACAGATACTTTTTGGAAAGCTGCAAAAGTAACATTCTGAAGCCTTTTAATTTAACATAATCCCAAGTACTTTGCTAATATTATACATAAGTTTTTCTGTATCACTTTAGGACCCATAGCTTTTATACGTAAATTATGTCTCTCCAAAAGACAGTCTAAAGTGATAAGCATCAGCTTTTAAATGTGAATATATTAATATGTGGTTTACAAACTTCTTCCTTTCCATTGCCAAATCTTCAGATGCACAGTTTAAGAATCTATCCAGCCCTGGCCGGGTGGCTCAGTTAGTTGGGGCACCATCCCACACACCAAAAGGTTGTGGGTTTGACTCCCAGTCAGGGAATATACCTAGGTTGCAGGCTCAATCCTCGGAGCACATACAGGAGGCAACCAATTGATGTTTCTCTCTCTCTCTCCCTCTCTCTCTACAATTAATAAACATATCTTAGGGTGAGGATTAAAATAAAAACACTATCCAGGCAAATCCAGGTTAAATTATAAATTTCAAACATCTAGGCATATTTTCCACATATTGTACTATATTTATTTGAATGTTTACTGTATTAGCAGTTATCAATACATATTATAGTAGAATCATTTTTAAGTACAACTTCTAGTTTCAAAGCTCTTACATATAATGTCTGATTTCTTGTGTATCTCCAAGCTTTAAGAATAGCGTATACTTTTCCATATCACTTAAATTTCTGTACTAACAAAACTGGAAAAAAATTTAGATTCTGTAAAATATGGACATTTTAAGGCAGCTTTGTGGGGAAAAATCCATTCTCTTTCTCCATACATTAAGGCTTTCTTTCCATACTATACTCAAAGCAACCTTTTTAAAAAAATTATCATGCATAGCTAAATTGTCTAAAGTATTAACAACGCTTAAAATTTTATTCAATGTCATCTTCACCAACATTTCAGAAGTTTAATACTAAAAAGGTTAATATAGTTCAAAGCCTCTAAAGTTAACTATGCTTTCCAAAGGTTACTTTGGGGTTAATAGTATCATCTACGCCCAATTCAAACATCTAACCATGACTAAGTAAAAAGACAGCATCCTAGTTTATTTTCATTCAGTTGTCTAATTTAACCTCCCCTAGAGGTCATAAAAGTTATTAGATAAAACCATACAGCAGAGGTTGTTCATTAAAAGAAGTACTAATATTTAACATTTTGGAGCTCCCAAGCCACAGGCAGTCACTATTTGAATCATCCACATGCTTATTTTCTAAATAGAAACACATTTTTAAAATAATAGTCTATTCAAAAAGTTTCATGAGTAACTTTGGACAGCTAGATTTTCTAGAAAGCTAAAGAAGTAACCCTATAACCATTTTAAATACAAATCTCTCTAAAATGATTTTTATATATTTCTATGACCTGTATAAAAAGAATATAAAATCCAAATTATTCTTCTTGGTGATTTAAAATCCAAAATCAACTATTCAGCAATTCCAAGTTATGTCTATTTTGGAATTTATTTTAATATTTTTATAAAATAACAATAATTTGTTATTTTGTAACATAATAATATGTATGCATTGGTTATATGCTAATATATAATTATATGTAATGATTGCATATAATTTACTTATGTAAATACATATAACTTTTTAAAAATAAGATAAATTTCCTGCTGTAAGAAATAAAATATTAACAGTATCATTGAAGTTTCCTGTAAGCCCCTTTCTGGATCTCAAACTCCAAAAGATAAGTGTTAAACATTCTTTCTTTACTATATATAGCTTTTTAAAAAAATCACATATATATAATCTTAAATACAGAGATTTTGTAAATTTATAAATTTTCATAATAAAATGATTGTGTTCTGTTAGCTTCCTATTTCTTTTGATATTACTTTTTTAAAGATTCATCCATGTTCATAAGTACATCAATATAGCATTCATTTTTATTGCTATGTTTACATATAAACTTATCACAATTTATTTATCCATTCTATTAAACACACATTTTGGTTACATCCAGAGTTTTACTATTATTAATACTACTACTATGAACATTCCTAAATATGACCTTCTCTGGAACAATTCTCAGACGTCAGTGTTGATCAGAACTGCACCTGGAGAGGCTGTTGTAATACAGACTGCTGGGCTCCAGTCCTCAGAGTTTCTGACTAAGTCTAGATTGGGACCCGAGAATTCACATTTCTGTTTGCCCTACCATGATGACAATGTTGTTCTGGGTGGGGGTGGGGGTGTCATACTCTAAAGGCTACTGCTCTAGGGCACTGGCTTTTAAATCTCATGGTTTTAAGGTTCACTCTTTAAAGAATGTCTAAAAGCTTTTGTTGAGGTAGGTTAAAATAATAAGTAACTGAAATTAAAACTGATATAGCTTTAAAACACATGAATACACAAATATACATTCCATTAGCTGTCAAAGCAATGATTTTATCATACATCATACAGCCTCTGGAAAATTCTACTGTACAAGGAGAATGAAAAAGGCAAATAAGCCTCAGAAACTCTGTGAAAGGATACTGGCAACACTTAGAAGTCCCATAACCATATTTTCAGAACCAGTACTCTAGGATAAATATCTAGAAATGAAATTGATAAATCTAAGGTAGAAACACATTCAACTTGACTGGCTAACGAATTACTTTCCAAAGTGAGTGTATCAACTAATAAACTTCAACCAGTAATGTACTATATTTTGCTGTGTATAACACACACCCACGTTTCTGTGAGCATTATACACAGGATTATTATACCCATTATTATACCCATGGTATGTACTCATTATACCCATATATAATCTGCATCCTTATATTTCCCTCAAAAATTTGGGCAAAAATGTGGCATATACACAGCAAAATACTGTACTTTCTTGTTACTGTACCACCTTCAGCAACATCTGGTACTAGGAGACTTCTTTATTTTTAACTATTTGCTGGGTGAAAAATGGTATGTTATTGTGGTTTTAATTTTCATTTTCCTCATTACCAATTAGGTTGAGGGAATTTTTTTTCACACAGGCACTCTGTCAACAATTTCTATTATTAGGGTCTTTTTATTACCTCCTTTCCCCCTTTTCCTTTGGCCATAAGTGAAAATGTTATGAAAAGACGTTGCTAATGTTGTCAGATGGCTTTATTTCACACTAATGAAACTTAGCTCTCATTATTTAAAACAACTGATTATTCATTTCTACTCAATTATTGATATTATATATTTCAAAGCTGAATGGTTTTTTTATATGGAGTCTATATTTGGAATTCCTTATATGCCCAATCAAGTCACATTCAACTTGGGTAAAATTTAAATGTATTTTTATGAAAAAATATGTTTCAAGGCATCTTCAGATGCCCTAAGTACTGGGCTATATCAGTTTTTCAAATTGTGATCCACAGGAAAGCCTCAAAGCACCCGGTACCACACATCACTTTCTTTTCCATGTTTCTTCCTCCTGTCCCCCACCTTCACTCTAATACTTTGACTGTTGTATATACCAGGGAGTTCCAAATCGAGTTTCATTTAAAAAAAGGTTACTAGTTTAAAAAAATTTTTTGAACAATCACTGCTATAATTTTCCTAGAAAAATCTAAATAAACAACAAATACAAATCACATTAAATTGGTTACAAATTAAGCATAGAAACATTTCATATTACAGAGAAAGTTGTATTTGTTTTCTGTGTAACTTCAGAGGCCTTTCACCAGAAGAAATTAGTGTAAATTAGATTTAACACTCTGTATTACCACTGACAACCTAATAACTATAAAAGCTAGCAGTCTAACAGAGGAGTTTAATATAAATTATGCAAAGTAAGTTAAATCACTCCAATGGTTATGCAATCTCACCTATCACAGTGTTCCCTGGGAGAAGTGGTGGAAGAGGTGGTGCTGGTGGAGCTCCAGAAGGAGGAGGGACAGAAATGTTTTCTAATAAAATAGTTTATAATTCAGGTCAGAGTGCAAGAAAGAGAACTAAACATTCTGAAACAGTAAGAAAGTACAATGTTTTGGAAAGAAGGAAAAAAAGAGAGAGAGACAGCCATATGTAAAGCATGTTCAAATACATAAGAATTTTACTAGGTAAAGAGGTCATTGAGTTCACATCTACATTAACTATGAAATATGCCTGTTTTTGTGAGTAGCTTTTTCTCTTTTCAACAACATCCTTGAGCAGCTAAAAATATTCCCTAACAGTATTGATTATCATTCTTATTTTTTACACTAGAGTCTTTATTTCATTTACTAAGAAATCGAGGGACTCATTTAATGCTCTATAATAATTTTTTAAATTTTTATATAATCTAACATGTAAAAGGACTTTTCCTTTTTAATCCCATCTCATACTCATGGTATTTTACTGAAATAAGTACTGAATATCATACATACAGTAAAGTCACAGAACAAACTAACATGAGCTGAGATACTAGCCTACAAGGCAACATCAGAACTCATTAATACATAATTCACCTTATAGACACTAATTTTTTTGTTGCAGTATCAACAATATTGGTTTGCTCTTGAAATAATAAACATCATTCTTGACTATGCCCAAGAGAAGTACTTTTAAAGCAAAATGGCCAAAAGGTTATAAAGCTATTCAATATGCTTCATCTGTAAGGAGAAATAGCTGATTTAAAAAATAAACCCTCCAGACTATGTGAATACCAATCTAAAAATGTTTTTAAATTTGATGTTAGTGTTTTTGTTCTAGCAACAATCACATAAATTTAATAAATAATTTGATTTAATAACTAAATTATTTCAGGCTTCCACGATCAAGCTCATAAATACTACCACATATTAAAATAGACTGATAAATAATATACCTGGTCCAATAGTGGGCGGTGAAGGTGTAGGCACGGCAATGGGAATGCCAATACTGCTGCTTCCACTATTTTCTCGACTTCCACTTCCCCCACTACTTCCACTGCAAAGAAAAGAAAAAATTGTGGAAAAAAGCAATTCTAGTGATTTATCCAAAACAATTACAATAATCAACTCAAAACCACTAACTACTCTCTTAAATGATGTATATACAAAGAAATTTTCAGAACTGTTAAATGCAAATTTTAATCCTAATACTTGAGATGGTTTGGTTCTTGTGTTTCTCATTCTACTGGCAACTAATATAATCTTAACATAACACCCAGAACTATCAGAAGAGATTATCCTATTAAGAAATGAATAACCAATGAAATCTTACAATCACTAAGTCAATAAGGATTTATTTAAAACCTGCTATGGACAGCGGTGAATAAGGCAGACATGAGGCACATTGTCATGGAGCTTACAGTTGAGAATGGGAACATAAGACATTAAAAAACAAAAGAAAATGTACAAGATGGTTTAAATGTTATATACAAGGTAACCAGTTTTAATCTGGAATTAGTATAAAAACCTCCACTCATCTCAAAGGGTAGTGATAAAACAGAAAATTTTCTGGAAAATGAGCAAAATAATAACGAAAAGGCAGTAGTGAAGTGTCAGTGTGAGGCATTCTAGAATAGTCATTCGTTACTGTTGAACTTTAATTCCCTACTATTCAAATTACTATGGATTTCCTATCCCTTTAGGTATAAGACCTCACACTATATAGTTGTGCTTAGTAATGTGTACATGTACATCTATGCAAATGTACATGTGTGCATATATAGCCTTAATTTCCATATTATATGTTAAAATCAGTATTAACAGGATCAGAAAAAACACAACAGGGCAAAGACTTGCACTGCCTAGATAAAATTGTTTCTTCAGTGTGATCATATGTTAATGAAAGAAAAACAGAAAGCTGTTTACATTACAAAAAATAGCTTCAATGTACAGGCCTCCCTTAACTCCTTCAAGACAGGTGCTCTTGCTTTGTGCTACCAATACATAACAGACATGAATATTTCTGTACTTATTATCCTCTTCTATAATTACTGGCTTTTTTCTAACTTGGGGATTGGCAAATTATAGCACAAGTGAAATCTGACTCATGATCTGCTTTTTTATGACCTGAAGCTAAGAATGTTTTTTGCATTTTTAAGCAGTTGAAAAAATCAAAAGAGGAATAATATTTTATGACAAATTAAAATTATATGAAAGTCAAATTTCACTACCGTATATAAAATATTATTCAATCAGCCCTCGCTGGTGTGGCTCAGTGCCAGCCTGCAAACCAAAAGGTCGCAGGTTCAATTCCCAGGGGTTGTGGGCCAGGTTCCCCAGTAGGGGGAGTGCAAGAGGCAACCAACTGATGTGTCTCCCGCATATTGATCTTTCTCTCCCTGTCTTTCTCCCTTCCTTCTACTCTCTCTAAGAAGTAAATGAAACCTTAAAAAAAAATCACTCGCTCATTTAGGTATTGTCGGTAGCTGCATTCATGCTCTGATGGGAAACCGAGCAATTGCAATGGAGACCACATGGCCCACAAACCTTAAAATATTGACAATGTGGCCCTTTATATGTTTGTTGATCCCTGTTCGAACAAAATGAGCTTCTGAAAAAAAGAACTATATCTTACTGGTATATCCCTAGTATCTAATTAAGCAACTCTTCATAACTAGTTGTTGCATATGATTAAACTATAGAGAAAAACCATGCTTTGATGCAAGAATTCAGTAACAAACATAAAAAAAGGACCATTTGGTCCTTCACAGAATTTGACCTGATACAGTAACTGCAGATATCAATATAAGAATTTATTTACTAACAGCAGCAATAACAACAAATGCCAACTACATAGCATCTCAGAGCCTAATACCCTATTATAGTTGAAACCCAAAAAATATTCTAAGTTCCAACTCTAACATACCAACCCAAAAGTCAAGGTAAGGAGAGGTTCTTACCCAACTTATTAAGAGGTATTATTGAAAAATAAAACAAATTAAGTTATACAATAAATTTGTCTGGCTTTATAAACATACCTCAAAATGGAGTGGCTACTATTGAGGGAAGAAGGTAGAGGTCATAACTGGGAAAGGGCCTGAGGGAGACTTACAGGTTGATGGTAACGTTTCATTTTCTGACCTGGGTGATGGTTATATGAGTGTGTTCAATTTTTATTAATCCATTAAGTTATGTACTTAATAAAGTGTTTACTTTTCTAAACGTATGTTATGTTCCACCACCAAGTTTCTAAAAATCTACTGAATAACTGATTTCTAGAACTTTTAAAAACAATTTATACAGTAACATATTCTAGAGTATATCAAATCTTTTTAATTAATTCTTCCTCAGATCTAAGTTAAGACTTCTTTCTTCCAACCTCTTAAAAGTTTAAATCATGTTATATAATTTCTGATATTTAACAACTTATCCAAGAATTTTTAAGAGTGGTTACCTTGATCTTTAAAGACTGTCTCAAAAAATATTCTTTAGCCTATATCCAAATATACATCTCTACCTCTGACAAAAGGAAGAAACAGTAGCCATCTGCTTATAGTATAAATTATATTTAAAAATCTAAAAATCAGAAGTTTTAACAGAAACATATACAATATTACCTCAACTTTTACATTCTGTGTGAACATTATAGTACTTTACTCAGCAACAGTATAGAGTCTGTGTACAGTCAGTAACCCCCACTCTCAAATGTTTACAGGCTCAACCTGAATGATTACCTGTGTGTCCTTGGTCTCTGATTTAAAGAAGCTGTCCTGCCTGGGCTATGCTGACTTCCAAGTCTAGCAGGACTTGTCATGTAGTCATTAGGAACTGTTGGGGGTTTAACAGGTTCCAGGGTTTTGTAAGGAGTATTCCGTCTAAAGAAGCATTGGAGAAAGGAATAATGAATAAGAAAGATAAAATGGCGTTGCCACACCAAATTTGTGATTGTCCATTTGTAACCAACTACAACACAAGTTTAAAAAGAGTAATAAAGTTTAAAACAATTCTTAATTGGAGTACATGAATTTCTTACTTTATGCAAAAACTAAAATTTGTTACCTTTTCTAAGGAAAAGCATAGAAAAGGTCATTTAAAAGTTCTACCCTATTTCTGCCTTGACTAGTGTGGCTCAGTGGATTAAGCGCCAGCCTGCAAATCAAAAGGTTGCTGGTTCAATTCCCAGTCATGGCAAATGCCTGGACTGCAGGCCAGGTCCCCAACTGGGGACATGCAAGAGGCAACAGAGCAAAGTTTCTCTCACACATGGATGTTTCTCTCCCACTCCTTCTCCCTCTCTTCCTCTCTCTCTGAAAATGAAGAAATAAAATCTTTTTACAAATATAATAAATAAAAGTTCTAACCCTATTTCTAAAATTAATGGTTCTAATTTTTGAAATGCTCAGTAATATCAAACTTTGAAATATACACTATTCCCAGTTCAGACATCCACAAGCCACTGTCCTATTATACATTAGGCAAGCTAAATATCTCCTCTGCAATTTACTGCTACCTCAATATGGAAATATATGGACAATGGGCAAGTACAATACATGCTAATCCTAGATGTAATGCCATTAATTTCCCAATAAATGATTTTAACTTTTCTATTTAATAATTTCACATGTTTCTGCAAGGGCAAGGGGCTTATAAAATAAAAAGAAAAATTAAGTCTATAAAAAAAAGTTTACTGTTGATCCCTATTACTATAAAATAATGAGTCCCCAGCCCTCCACTAGAAAGAGCTCTAATATATTATTTCCTATGTTAAGGTGAACAATCTTTCAGAAATGGCTTACCAATTATTCAATATTTTTATTGCATTGAGAACTGAGAAAGAAGAAGCCAACTGTTATCTATTTTGCTTCTCCAACTGGCCTTCCCACAAAGCTACTCAAGAATGAAGGGCCCTAAGATTACAAGCACAAGCACAGTTAGAAGTATTCCAGGTCAAGAACCCCTAAGTCTTAGATGGAAAGTAACTGGGAAAACAGAAAAGTTGCAGAGTACCAAGCCAAACTACACAAAGTAGACCACTTATTCAAAGTTCTGCAATATAAATATTGTAAATATACATGTGAAAGCACCATATGGAATACACTGGTAATTTCAGTTAAAATAAGTAAGTCAAATTTATATTTTTAAAAAATGAATTAAAAGATAAGTAATGCTCATTTCTACATACACAAAAGAATGCCTAGTAGAGACTCCTATAGAGAATATTGTAAAAGAAGTAGATGCATTTCAGATTCTGTTAAAAAGAAAAGAAACAAGATGAACTGTAAAAGCTAGTGTCATAGAGGGGGTCCCAAAACAAGAATCCATACATTTACCTAAACACAAAAACATCTCTTCTTTTAGAATATGAATTTTCTTGTAAAATGTAGTTGAATTCTTACCCCAATGTTCCCCGGCCTGACATAGGAGGACTTGGTGGTTTCTGAGTAGGAGGATTTGTTCTTGACAGTGTGCCAGTTCTTGCAGGCTGATTATTCCCATGCTAAAATGCACACAAAAAAAGAGCTTTTATTTTTATACCAAATTGGTCTCTTGTGTTTTGACACCATGTATTATTGTTTTTTTTTAATATCAGGAAGTGAAGTAAGGATTCCCAGACAGTTTTAACAACAGACTTTGCTTCTACATTTTAAAAGTAAAGAAACCTCTTGCACTTGGCTTTTCTAATTCATTCTAGTTTATAATAAAACGCAGGTTTTATTATTATTTTATTATTAAATGTTCACTGAGATTAAATGTATCTGCATCCAAATAGTAATTTTCCCAAAATTTTTGAAATGTGTGCATGAATATGAACTACAGATCTCAAAGTCAACTTGCTATAATGTTCATCTGAAAAATATCTTTATCCTAGTAACAAAGTCATATGTGACGTCTGGGAAACCTCCTAACTGTAAGTCTATAAAAGCAAGGCAACTATCAGAAAATAAGCAAAGCAATAAATGTTAGCAAAATTAATGTTCCTATATAAATGCAGATGTCAATATATCTTTGATATATTAACACATCCAAGCTAAATATAGCTGATTTGTACTGAGTTTGAGTGTATTTAATCTACATAAATCCTAAGGGGAAAAAGCAGACAGACATAAGAAGAGTTTCAAATTTTAGTGGTTCTGCAGCCTCTATCAACATAGAGGTAAAACTGTGGATCAAATGATAAGTAGTATCTCTTACCTTGGCTTTTAGCCACTTTACGTTGGCAAAAAAAAAGGGGGGGAAAGTAGAAATTAATTCTAAATACCTTATGTCTAATAGGACAAGTTTATATTTACAGTTACTCAATTCATGTTAATAAGCTTTTACTTAGATATTATTTCAAATATTTTATAAAGAAAATGATATCCATAACCAACTAGGAAACATTCATGAGTATCATATTTTTCAAAACAATATATTCATAAGGAAATAACCATTTATTTATGCCAATCTCATGCAGGCCCAATAATTTCTCTATTCTGTATTTTTACCTATGGAACTAATCCAACTGAATCACAGATGATAAACTTTGATTTAAAAACAAATGCTGATAAAGCCTTCCCATCAATTTAGGAATTAGAACAGGTGGAGTAGAAATGGGCAAGCAAAATCCAGTTTGAGTCAACACTATGTTTAATAACATGTCATCATACAATTAAGGAAGTGATTCTTTGAACAATCAGAAGGTGATAGGAGATAAAAATTTGATGAAAGGGTAGGAATTATCCTGGAAAATTCAGAAAAGATTTTTCTTAAAAAGTGTTAAGTGGGGACTTTAAAGGCAGTAGTAAAGTAGGTGGATCTTACACTCACCTCCTCCCAGGACCAAACTAGAAATATACCTAAATTAAAGAAAAATCACCAGAATAACCACCTAAGACTAGCTAAAAAGGAGTCTTATTACCAAGGACTTACAGAAGCCACACAGAAACTGCACTGCACTGCAGCTTACACACCATTGCTGGACTTGAGCCTCACAGTCAGCCAGCCTGAAAGTCAATCCCACCCACAGACAGACAAGAGCAATCAAGGCTCAATTAAACCGGAGGCCCCAAATAACCCACACAAGGGACATTCCTACACCACCCAGCTTAGGAGATCAGGGAGACTGCACCACTGGGTCCCACAGGATACCTACTACATGAGGCCACCTCACAAAGGCTAGGAGTCATAGCAGATCTGTCTAATACATAAAAACAAACACAAAGAGGCAACTAAAATAAGAAAAAAAAGAAATAGGCCTCATATGAAAGAACAGGAGAGATCTCCAGAAAAAGAACTAAATGAAATGGAGGCAAACAATTTCTCTTACATGGATTTCAAAGTAATGGTTATAAGGATGCTTAAGGAACTTAGAACTTAAAAGAGCATGAAAAAGGACAAAGAAGCCATGAAAAAAAAAAAACTAGTGGAAAATGAAGAATAAAATATCTAACATCAAGAATATACTGGAAGGTAAATGATAATAGAAAAAAATACAATTAAATAAAAAGAATACACTGAAAGGAATGAAAAGTAGGGTGGATGAAGCAGAGGATCAAATCAGCAACTTGGAAGACAAAGTAGAAAAAAAAAAAAAAACCCACCCAATCAGAGCACCAAAAAGAAAAAATTAATGAGGAAAATTTAAGGGATCTTGGGAAAGCATGAAGGGTATCAATATCCACATCATAAAGGTACCAGAAGAAGAGAATGAGCAAAAAATTGAGAACGTAATAGAAGGAATAATGACTGAAAACTCCCCTAACCTAATGAAGAAAAAAGTCCCATAAGACCAGGAAGCATAGATAACCCAAACAAGATTAACCCACAGAGGCCCACACAAAGACATAATAAAAATGGCAAAAATTAAAGACAAAAAATCTTAAAAGCAGCTTCCTACAAGGGAGCTCCCATAAGATGTCAGATGATTTATCAACAGAAACATTTCAGGCCAAAAGAGACTGGCATAAAATATTCAAAGTGATGAAAAACAAGGACCTACAACCAAGACTACTTTACCCAAAAAGTCTATTAAATTGAAAAAGAAAGAAAGAGCTTCCCAGATAAGAAAAAGCTAAAAGAGTCTGTTAAAACAAACAGGTATTACAAGAAATGTTACAATGACTGCTTTAAGAAGTGGAAGAAGAAGAAAAACAACAAAAAAGAGGAACAGTTAAAAGAATAAAATGGCAATAAGTACATACCTATCAATATTTAAAGGTAAAGGTAACATTTAAGGTAACATTTAACATTTTTTTACATTTAAAGGTAAATGGCTAGAATGTTTCTATCAAAAGACATGGGGTAAGTAGCCCTGGCCAGTGTTGCTGTTGGTTGGAGGGTCATCCCATAAATCACAAGGTCATGGGCTCGATTCTAGGTCAGGGCACATGCCTAGGTTGCAAGTTCAGAACCTAGTCGGGACACGACTAATACATGTTTCTCTCTCATATCGATGTTTCTCTCCCTCTCTGCCTTCCCTCCCTTCCCCTCTCTCTAAAATCAGTAAGCATGTCCTTGGGTGAAAATTAAAAAAAAAAAAAGAGGACCTGAGGTACAAAGACTTATAACTGACAAAATAGAGTTTAAAACAAAAGCTACAGTAAAGACAAAATGGATAGTACATAATGATAAACAAGAGAATCCAGCAAGAGGATGTAACTCTGGTACACATTTATGCAGCCTATATAGGGTTATCTAAATATGTAAAGCAAATCTTGATGGGCATAAACAGAAAGACTGACAGTAACACAGTCATAGATAGTAGGAGATTTTAACACCCCATTGACATCAATAGATAGATCTACCAGGCAGAAAATCAACAAGAAAACGGTGGCCTTAAATAACAAACTAGATCAAATGGTCTAATTGATATCTTTTGAGAAATTCACCCCAAGGCAGCAAACTACACATTCTTTTCAAGTGCACATGGATCATGTTCTAGGATAGACCACATGTTTGGACACAAAGTAAGTCTCAATAAATTTAAGAATAATAAAATCATATCAAGCCATCTTCTCTGACCATAATAGGATGAAACTAGAAATCAACCACAAGAAAAATAACTTAAAAAGACACACACTCATAGAGGCTGAATAACATGTTACTAAACAATGGGGGGTCAACAATGAAATCAAGGAAGAAATCAAGTTACCTTGAAACAAATGATAATGAGACACACCAGCACAAATCTATGGGACACACTGAAAGAAGTCCTAATGAGATAGGATAGTAAAGAGCCAGGTAAATTGCTGAGCAAGTAGAATGGGGAAACTGAGACATGTATATCAAACAAACATTCTCAAAATCACCTGGACTCATGTTGTGAAATCTTCCCTACACAAAGTAAAGAACCACACACTAAGGCTGGCCTGAGGCAAACCTGCTCCTAGTGAGTGCCTATCCAGTAACACCAAGAGGGAAATTCATAGCATTACAGGTCTACCTCAATAAAGAAGAAAAATCTCAAGTAAATAATCCAAATTTACAATTAAATGACCTTGTTTAAAAAAAAAAAACAAAAAACAGCAAGCCCAAAATGGTCAGAAGCAAGGAAATCATAAAGATCAGAGCAGAAATACAAAATAGAGCCAAAAATACATTTTAAAAAATCAATGAAACCAAAAGCTGGTTCTTAGAAAAGATAAAGACTGATAAACATTTAACCAGACTCATCAAGGAGGAAAAAGAAAAAAAATATATATATATATAAAAGTAACAAGTAACACCAAATATAAAAAATTATAAGAGAATATTATAAACAAGTATATGCCAACAAATTGGACTATCTGGAAAAAAAGAGATAAATTCCTAGAAACACACCATCTTCCAAAACTGAATCAGGAAGAATCAGAGAATCTGAACAGACTATAACTAGAATAATTGAAGCAGTAATCAAAAAACTCCCAGCAAATAAAAGTCTTGGACTGCACTGCTTCACAGGTCAATTTTACCAAACATTCAGAGAAGAACTAATACCTCTCCTTCTCAATTTCAAAAATTTTCAATTGAAGGAAAACTTCTAAGCTGATCTGATGAGACCAGCATTATCCTAATTGCAAAACCAGACAAAGACACAACAAAAAGAGAAAATTATAGGCCAAGACTCCTAATGAACTTAGGTGCTAAAATCCTCAAATGTTAGCAAAACAAGTCCAGCAATACATTAAAAAGATCATATACCATAATCAAGTGGGATTTATTCTATCGATGCAATGTTGGTACAAAATCCAAATTAATAAACATGACCCATCACATAAACAAAATGAAAAACAAAAATCACATGATCCTATCAAAAGATGATGAAAATGCATTTGATAAAATCCAACACCCATTTATGCCAACAACTCTCAGCAAAGTGGGAACAGAGGAACATACCTCAACATAATAAAGGCCATATATGAGAAATCCACAGCCAATGTCAAACTCAATGGGCAAACATTAAAAGTGTTTCCCTAAGATGAGGAACAAGACAGGAATGTCCACTTTTACCACTCCTATTCAACTCAGTACTAAAAGTCCTAGCCACAGCAATCATACAAGAAGAAATAAAAGGCATACAAGCTGGAAGGGAGGAAGTAAAACTGTCATTATTTGCAAATGAAATGATATTGTACATAAAAAACCCTAACGACTTCACCAAAAAATTACTTAGACCTAATAAATGAAATTGACAAAGTAGGATACAAAATCAATACTCAGAAAATGATAGCATTTTTACACATCAATAATGAACTATCAGAAAGAGAGACTAAGTAAACAATCCCACTTACCACTGCAAAAAAAAAATAAGGTGCCTACAAATAAATTTAACCAAGGAGGTAAAAGACCTGTACTCAGAAAACTATAGAAACTCAAAAAATTGAGGAAGATACAAATAAGTGAAAGCATATACTGTGTTCACAAATTGCAAGAACTAACATCATAAAAATATCTACACTATCAAAGGAAATCAGTAGATTCAATGCAATCCCCATTAAAATAGCAATGGCATATTTCACAGATCTAGAACAAATATCCAAAAACTTATATGGAACCAAATAAGAGCCCAAAAAGCCTCAGCAATCTTGAGAAAGAAGAACAAAGCTGAAGGTATCACAATACTTTATATCAAACTATGCTACAAGGCCATTATAATCAAAACAGCCTGGCACTGGTGAAAGAACAGGCATATAGATCAAAGGGACAGAACAAAGAGCCCAGAAATCAACCTATACCTATTTGGTCAATTA